TACAAGTCTTTTTAGAGATTCCATTATGGACTACATACGGAGCAAAATGAGTGAATCTACACCCTAACTATATACATTCGTATGTAGTTCATATGGGAATCTCTAAAAAGACTTGTATTTAGGAACAAAGCCAGTTCTGAGGAAATTCCCTGATAATTGCTTTTTAATGTTTATAATAACTGAAAAGGTCTCTGGGCTACGAATAAGGTACATCCACACCAGGATCTTTAGGCCTTGGGCCCTTGGCCATAAAAGCAATGTACTAGCACACTGCATATCTTCAAATTCTTAATTAATTCTCCAACTGGAGCATCACTTACAAACTAACGCTAGATTTTTCAAGTACAATTTACAAGGGAGTGTAACAGCTGTGCAAAACTCATGCCAATGACAGGTAGAGAAGAGCTACCACGATATGTGAACTATAAAATACAAAGAAAAGGCTGTTTCAGAGCATCCTCGTAGTGTTCACGACTCTACACTCACATGTGCATACGCTTCTTGATTCTCTGACCACACGCCATGACCGCTGAATATGCAACTTGATGTTCACCAGCTTGCCAGCAATCTGCATTTCGGGCATGTAACGGATAAACTGTTATAGCGAAGATTACTGTATCTCTGAAGTCCCAACATTTACACAAGGAATGAAACTGCAGATAAAATAATTGGCCTTGAAGTGGTGGGCTCACAACATTGAACCGATGTAGATTCTAGAAGCAAAAACACTTCTATTTCGCAAGTATAATAGGCTGAACAACTCTAGAAGAATGTCAGGGAATTACCATTCTCCATGTAAGGTCTTCTGGTCCAAGGGGCTGAGCAGGACTTGAATATAGAAAATGCCTCGAGTACTGTCAATGCACCACGAGTAAAAATAGTCAAGAAGATGGGTCTTCCAAGAAACTTAAGGGAGTACTTGGTCGGTGCCCAAAATCACCAAAATTGGCATTGCCCATACCTACTAACTAGCGCACTCTAGTTTGTTTTTCTTGGCAACATTGTTCAAATCATGGGCAAGCATAACCTTCACTGAAATTTTGGCTAGCCAAACTTTTGGTAGGCTGAACTTGGGTCCGAACCAAGCATACCCTTAAATCGTATTTAGGTTTTAAATAAGAGCAAACCTTGAGAAGATTGGATTGCATATCCCTGACTCTTTTGGCATCGATGCCTCTTAGGTACTTCACCAGCCAGCCAGGTTGCACAGCATCAGTTGATGACACAAACAATGCTATCTGCACAATGAAGTAACATGCCATTATTTCACACTGCAAAAACTTGTGTTCTCCAAATGCAGCAGACCAATGCCGATGACCAATGGTGAGGCAAAATACATAGTCATCATGCTACAATAAAAAATTAAAATTAAATCTTGATGGGATATAATATATGCATCTCCAACAGACTGCATGTGTAAGATTTTCGTGCATGCCCACACATGTGCACATCTATATAGACACCTTTACTATAGTTTACAATTGATTAATATTGCTCACGCACCATTTTTATAATTCATAGTGCCCCATATCACCAACGCGTTTTCTCGGTTTATCTCACAGTGCAAGTATATATAGAAAATAAATAATCCTTAGGTACAGTGGTTTCATAGATACCGTGCCAACTTTTACACAAGCTTCAGAAACACTATTGATACAGAGAAATTGGTATATGTCAAAAGATAGGTATCACTAATTCTACAACAGTCAGTGTCATTGAAGTAATCAGGCCTGTCCATTGGCAACTATGCAACTATAGTCCGCATGTTACTTGTTAGTAACTCAGTGATATGGATATATTTGTTTGTCATTCATGAGATTCAACTAGAAAAATATCCTCATTTTTTCAGGTAATAGGTAAAGTTTTGGAGCTCCAGTAAAATATATCAGCGATCTTTGCGAACCTTCATGCTTCAAATTATGGAGAATGGTAAGGCATGTTGTAGAAAAATGGGTCAACTATACCTTACTGTAGTCAAGTATTCCTTCAAAAGGAAGCTCTAGCTCATCGCTGATTATAACTGGGATACATCCACTAACAATTGCGTCAAACAGGCGAGCAGAAGATGGAGTGTCCCCAGCAGGATTCAAGCAAAAGAGAGACTTGCGCATGCCAGACTGAGCTGCTACTTTCCCCTTAGCCCCAGCAGAACCTTCTTCTATGATTATGTCTTCTATGTTTTGTAATTCTGTCACAAGCTTACTGCGTATCTTCCCACCCTAACAAGGTCAACAAGATAGAAGACCAAAAGGCAATAAGACAACAAAAAGTGGAACTATCACATGCATATATAGATCTGATTTTGTCAAAGGTTGAAATAGTATCAAGAAACTTACAGCATTTCTTTTAAGTCTTCCTCGGAAAAATAGTAACGTACTTCTTTTAGATTGAGTTTCTGACACACACTTATGATCACAAAGGTCAACATTTGGGACATATGGAAGGATAACATCCTTTTCCAGATAAACTTGCCCAGGTTTATACCTGATATAAGGTGGAAACATGAGTTGTGTTGCTCAACTGATGTATGCAAGCAGCATAGAGGCAACGTGGCGAACAATGAAGGAATGAAGACCATACCAGTTCCCAGTAGAATCCATATCAGGTAGAAGCCATATTGCTTTCTTCACAAATCTTCGGACTGACTTAAAAGACCATGGGTGATGAACAGGAATAACATGATCTCTGCCTTCTGAACGTTGCCAAGCAGGTTGATCAGTCACCCACTTCAAAGCTTCCTAATTACAGGGAAGTAATGGTAAGATCATCTTGGATATAAATAGGGATGAACAGAACAATTAATAACTTGTAATCTAGACAGAGAGTTAGATATTCCTTACAGTCAGGTGAACCCCCCAAAAATATATTACAGATAGTCATAGAATATTGAGTTCATTCCATAGTGTGTTATTATGATTTCTGTTGTGACTGCAGAAACAAACTAAATTTTCTTAATAATTGATGTCAGGTTGATAGCATGAAGAATCAAAGTTTAGCTTGGTCACATGCATGTCCTACAACAAATACTAGCTAAAAAATTAAACCTTGAGAAATGCTCGCACACCCTATAAAGTGCCTTGCATTCTTGTTTCTCCAGCAAGAAGTAACTGATTGTTGTGAAAAATGGCACGTAGAAAATGTCTGCTTCTTCTTGCCGCTCAACCCTGATAACATTCTTCAGAAGTCTTTGTGATTCAGGAGCAATGAGATCAGCCCACAGCCAGTAGTCAATAGAATGCTGCACATGCGAATGGAGATAAATTCAGACAGTAAAACAAGACAAATGGCAAGTTCCAAATTCATAGTGCTACAGTATTACTTAGTATACAGATATTTAACAAAACCGTGTTGGAAAACTGATGTATTAGAAATTGTCATATGCAGAGGTGGTAGATCTAAACACGCAGTAAACAGACCATTCCTTTCCCAGCAAATATTAGTACAGGCTATTCCAGTTCAACCATTTTCCTGCTATATGTAAACAGGATATCGGCAAGAAGTAAGCTATTTACAATTTATTAATGCATTCCAACAAGAGTTTTATGATCTCAAAGAGATCCAAAGAACATCAGCAAACGATACACATCCTTATGTTTGAATCTTGTAATAATTACAAATTACAGCATATTCAGTCGAGAAGCGTATGTGCCTCATTGGTATAGCTTTGCAGCATTGGGTCACAGGAATACCACAGATACCCAGAGCAGCTACAGTGGATCAGCACATAATATTTCTATGAGATCCAACACACTAAAATACAGCTCATTTCAGGAACACTTGAGATCTCCCGAGAGCATCAGAGAACAGATTTATCACAGAGGAATATAGCAACGCAGCATTACTACTAATGCTCCACTTTCAATCAGCAAGCAATCAAATGCCCCACAGTCTACAAACTAAGCGCCGTCCACCACCAAATCTGGGAACAAGGAGATCTCGTGGCATCATCAAAATTAAAACGACGCGAGAATATGATACAAATCGATCTCACCGCTCGCCAACCTGCTCGATGAGCCTGTGCACGGGGCTCCCGTTGGAGGTGAGGTTGGTGGTGTCGCGGTACGAGTCCCTGAACAGCCTGAGCAGGTCGTAGGTGAACTTGCGCGGCATCTCGTACACGTAGACCCTGAGCGGCGCGGGCGCCGCCGGCCACGCGCCCCGGGGGTCCCCGTACAGCCGGGCCTCCTCCTCCCTCCGGATCGCGGCGTCGAGGTCCCCGGGTGCCGCGGAGGAGGCGGCGGGGCGGTGCGGGGAGTCGAGGAAGCGGTCGAGTGAGGCGACGAAGGAGGTGGTGGTGCTACTAGGGTTGGAGAGTGGGCTGGCGACGGGGCGCGGCGGCGACGGGGAGAGGAGGAGGAAGTAGACGGCGGAGAAGACGAGGAGGGCGCCGACGGCGAGCAGGCAGCGGGAGGAGGCGCGGCGCGCGTGCGCGAGGGAGGGGAACTGCTTCCCTGCCATGGCTGGAGACTGTCGAGTGGGCTGCAAGTTTTGTGTTAAGCCGAGGCTTATGGTTTGGGCACACCAGATAACCAAAGCTAAAATAAAATTTGAAGGACTGGAGATAGAGGAATTTGGCAAACTGAATCTCGAAGTGATTCAAACGGTCCATGTGTTAAATTAAAAAATATATCCTAAAAAGCATACTGAACCTTGCTAAATTGCTATGAAAATCCTACAGTTCAAAGATGCCTCGCTAATTAAAATCCAGCACAAGCACACCTAAACAGACCACCATTATCCATGCCATGAACTCTTAAATATGCACTGCTCCACTGGCAGCAAATCAGCACCTACTGCCAAAATTTCACCGCAACATTCTATCCAGTTGCTTGCAGGTTGCAAAGACACATAAACCTACGACTACTCTAAACCTACCTTATCTTTGTCCTAGGGAAAACCCGACAGGTCAGGGGATCTGGCAATTGCGTTCAAGAAAAAGGGGAGATGGTTTATCAAAACTGAACCAAAAATCTACCAATGTACTTATGCATTACACAGAATTAGTTTTGGCCGTCTGGTTTTGCACGCCCGGAGCTCTTCTTTACTGCCGCGTTGCCCTTCTTCCCGGCGTCGTCACCGCTCGCCCTGGCGTCTTCTTTTCTCTTGCGAATCACCTTGGCATGTTCAAGACGACCGTCGTCGGTGGAGGAGGGAAGATCGGTGACGAAATGCCGAGGCTGAGGAGCAGCAGGTGGTTCCGACGGGGTCTCCATCGGATCAGGGTCGCTGGGCGTTCGGAGCCGGCTGCCGGACGAATCAATATCGGCGCCCTCTGGATAATACAGGTTCCAGGCCCATGGATCAATCGTGAAGACATGGCCAAGACTGTTCCCACTCGACAAGGGCCCCAGATCAAGAGACTCGAACGGGTCGTCGTCAGCAGTCTGTTGGGGATCGGCGCCGGAACCGGATGCTTCGACCTGGCTGTCGGCGGTGCTGTCCGACCAGTTGGCGCCGTTGCGTAAGAGGCCGGCAGACGCCGTCGCCTGCGCTTGCTGCGACGTGTCGGGGCTGGTGTCCGTCAGCGGCTCGTCGACAAGCATCATCGATGACGGCTCGTGCTCCTCCTCCGCCCCTTCCTCCTCCTCCACCACCTCGTCCGCCGGAGAGGCGCCGGGATCCTCCTCCTCCCCTTTCTTCTTCTCCGGCTTGCGTGTTATCCTGCACAGCACCCACTCGTTGAGCTGCAAGCAAAAACACACGATCGACACACATCATCAAACACAGGGACGCTTGGCACCAAATTAGTTGACATGCATGGCATGAGATGAGATGATGAGATGACGATCTATGGCTGACCAGCATGAAGTTGGGGGCGGACGAGACGGGCATGTTGGAGTCCACGTCCACGAACTCGGCCATCTTCCACTCCGTCTTCTCTATCCGCTTCTTCTTGGAGTCGCCGCCGTCGTCGTAGAGGAACACCTCGTACGCCAGAGAGTTCCTGAAACCGATCGTCGCCTTCTCCTTCCCGTAGGTGACCGGCATGTTCTTGCCCACCGACTTCCAGCGGCCCGTGTCGCCCGTGTTCCGGCTCGGCCGCCCCCCCTTGGCGTACTTGCGGTTCCTCTGCGTGAACACGTACCAGTAGTCCTCCACGCTCGGGCCCAGCCTCTCCGCTGCCAAAACCAAAGCAAGTTACACGGCCATCAAGAACTCAATCAAGAAGATCAAGATCGATCGGAATCTTCTTATCTTAGAGTGAAACGACGGTGGGCATTAAGCAAGAAGGCAAGAACTCACTGAGAATCTGGGGGTGCTCCGCGTACACGTCGTCGTCGTGCACGAGCGTGGTCGGGGGCGGATCGCCGCGCAGCTTGCTCCGGAGGTAGCAGAGGATGAGCTCCTGGTCGGTCGGGACGAACCGGACGCCGGGGACGTGCAGGTACGGGTACAGCGCCGCCTCGCCGGACTGCTGCTGCGACGACGTTGACGCCTCCAGCAGCATGGCGGTGGACGACGTTGGCGCCTCCAGCATGGCGGTGGACGACGTTGACGCCTCCAGCATGACGGCGTCCATGATGGCCGCCGACGACGGGTGGTCGCGGCCGGCACGTGCTAATGCTGTCGGATCGTAGCCGAGGACGTTAGGGGTTTGACGCCGCTCTGCTGCCCACAGCACGTACGGAACAAGATTCCTTTTCCGTAACTCAACGGTTTGCACGATTCATATAGCATACGATGGGTTTAGGGGGCTGTGGCCAGCCTGCCTGATGAGGCGATGTACGGACCAAGATTCCTTCTCCGTAACGTTTCCCTAGTTTTTTCTTGTTGAGAAAAACAAGAAAAGTTACCGACTACCTCGCCTTGTCGTCCACGTCGTCTATTGGGGCAGCCCGCGAACCACACTCGCCTACGAACTGGCCCGTTTAGGAACTCTAGTGCTTATTATGTCTCATACCTATATATTATCTCTTCCTAATAATAATAAAGTACTGATTGGGTCTCCGGATTCACCGTCGCGGCGTTTTTAAACAAAGGTCCCTGTGCTTTTTAGGAGTTAACCCACAGTCTATCCATACACAAAAGAAAAAACGGTTCGCTGGAAAACAAAAAAACAAAACACCCGTACGCAGAGGCCTCCCGTACGCATCTGCCTCCTCGATCCCTCACCCGTGCCCAAGCCACGCCATCCTCGCGCCGTCGCCGCCGCCGCCACACCTCCGCCATCTCGCCGCCGCGGCCGCACCCCTCCATAATTGCGAGGAGAGGCGTGGAGGAGAGGCTAAACCGGCGGCGGCCTTGCAAGGGCCAGCGGTGGCACGGTCGTCAAGGACCTGTCGAATCTCGCCGGATCTGGTGGGAAGTGGCGCTCAGACAGTGGATCTCCAAGGAAGGCGGCCGGAGCTCGGAGCACGACGGTTGGCGGGCGCGGCATGGCATCGGGTAACTCTACCTCCTCTGTTGCCGAGCGCGTGAACCGCCTTCGTCTCCTCCACCCGGCCGGCAAACCCAGCCACCACGCACCTTGTCCCTGCTCGTCCTCCTCTTGGTTGGACCGGGCGCTGCTCGTGCGCTCGTTCACCTCGCGTGGACGGAGCAGAAGGGGGCCGGGGCGACGCGAGCGAAGCAGAGCAGCGCGGCAGGAGTCAGCGAGCATGGGGGCACGAAGCAGAGGCAAAGGCGGCGGCTGGCGACGGACTTGGCGCGATGGCGGTGATCCGATCGGGCGAGAACGAGGCAGGGGCGATGTGGTGGAGGCCCGGCGGCGCGGCTTCCTGTGGGTGCCATGGCGTTGGGTGGGCTCCTGTGCACATCCGAGAGAGAGGTGAGAGCAGAGAAATCACTACCGTTCCAAGGTCTCTGGTCTGGGAGCTTGTGAAGAAGAGCAAGTGCTTCTTGATCAAGCAGTTTGGCAACAACAACGCCAAGGTCCAGTTTCACAAGGACCCAACAACCTCTACAATGTCTGCTACTACAAGTTCTCAGGTCCATAGCTCTTCACACTTGCACTGTTTTTGGCGGGCTCAAAGCTGTTTATTAGTTCCTCTACAAGGCGCTAACTTGCTGTGGTCTGATGTGGTTTTTTAGGCTTAACAAACAGCAAGACCGTGGCGGTCCAGCCATCAGCGGGAGAGGAGAAGGCTGTTGTCCTGTCCACGAGCAAGACCAAGAAGCAGGACACCCGTGCCAAGCTGTTGCACAAGACTCTAACGCGCAAGCAGTTCTGCAAGATGGCCAAGTCTGTCCAGAATCAGGTACTAACACAACAAAAATTCTTACTTGAAAAGTTAGAATGCACATGTTATGCTTGTTTCTATGCTGCAACTCATTTGTATGTGCACCTGCTCTTATATACATTTAACTGTTTTGTGGATTGTACTATTAACATTTAAGAAGTTTTTCTGTCATTGGGAAATCTGCTTTGGTCTTTGTTTTTAATTGGTAACGAAAGGTATTGCTGTGATGAGCCGTGGCGATAAGGATACCAACGGATCAATTGGTTATTCAATGAAATGCTTTTTACGCTTGGCATTGAGCTCAACCGGTTAAGAAAATTGTTTTTGTTGTATATATTAGATTATTGTGTACACAATTTTCACGTTAGTGAGCACATATTAGATTACTTTCACCCGTTGCAACGCAAGAACATGGAGTTATTCTCATGTTGAAGTTTCCAGCGATAAGAATGGGCTTAGCCAACATCGCTCAGCTGCTGAAATTGCAAATTTGGTGTAGTTATTCATGGTAGAAATTCCAAATTAAGTGGTATATTTTGCCAGATTGAGAAACTGCATACACACCTTTGTCAATGCGCAATCGAACATCCGTCAGGTGCTGATCAGAGGACTACTAAAGTAGGGGAAACACACTTAAGTTTGTTATCCAGAGTTTCTTCAGAAGCTAAACATCAGTGGCATCACAAGTGGGCTTCCTCATTTAATCCAAGAGATCTATCAAGTTGCAAAGATAACAACAGTGAACATGAAATATCTGAAAGCAAATGACCCGAGTATCCTCTACTACTTTGGTTTAGGTGCTATTTATCTTGCTCTGTGTTGAAATATTTTTATCTTCCGTAGATGCAAAGCATCCAGGATGTGATAAATCATTCACTGGATAATGGCATTTATATGTGGTTCCAGTCTTTTCACGGTGCAGGTGAACATGAGAATTCTATCAAAGATAAGTGCCCTTTCAAGATTGACATTGTTCTTTCTTCAGTGTAGGTGCATGATATTACATGATTAAACATGCCAATTTTTTAAATTGATTTAGTTGTCTATATTATGCTCTATGTGCTATTACCAACAAAAAAGTACACCATAATATAAGATGTTATTACATGAACGGAGGGAGATTTTTAGCCTGCAAAGCAACAAATCTATTCCCAGTGTGGCAATAATGTGTTTGCACCAGTTAAGGAAGAATTTGTTTTTCACACTGTAAGAAACACTTCATGTTTCTTCCCCATCATTTAAGTGTGCCATTCTTCTTTGTTCATGTTGCTAATAGGATATATTTCATTATGATGATGTTCCATACTGCTCCTATGGAGTCGCTCTTTGGACTGTTGGACGCGTATATCCAATGAAACTACTTTTCCGGTTGTTGGCTGGAGCTATCACTGTGACTGAAAATTTCTTTTCAGTCAAGAAACCAACGACATGTCAACACTTATCAGCGGTTTGCAATCTTTGTTAGACTATGCCTAAGCCAATGGTTAGACAATGTTAGGCAATGTACAAAACATGGACATGATTTATGTAGATTGGGCAGTCCCTTCAAACTGCATTTTTCAATCTTGAGTGGACGATTATATGTTTTCTTATAGAAAATTGACTATATGTTTGATGAATTGACTGATTATTGCCCTGTCAGATTAAACTAGGTCTTAATTTGAAGGTACAATTTAGGCTGCTGGTGCTGGTTTGTTTATTATACTAATTATGCTCTTTAGACAGAGACATGTTGTCTTCATCATTCCTCAGTCATTATGAGCTGGGCATAGATCGGTGACCCGGTTAATCCTGATTTATTGCAACATATGTTTTCTCCACACAGGTCTAAACAATGCAACCTCTTTTTAGGTTGTGGAAATATGATTCGGATGGAGGTTGATGGACTAGAGCAATTAAGGGATGTGATATTTTCTTCTCCCGTTGCAACG